AGAAAAAATGATAGATGGACTCAACTAATGTTTAATTAGATTCATAAGATTATGTTTTTATATGTCAAGTGATGTATTGCTATTTATTTATTTTTAATGTTTCAACATACTTTTTTTTTTTTCCCTAATGTTTCAAAACACATGTAAACATATTTTTCAGCATTTTAATAGTGGAGTTTACAGCTTGGAAAATATAACAGAAGGAAAGTGGAATATTTTGTAAGCATAATATTTGCTTTTCTTTTCACTTTTGTGGGAAGTTGGGTTTTGAAGTGCACTGTGTAATTCTTGTATTCGAAATTCCGTTTGACATTCCACCTTGATCTTGACATTACTATTTCATAATTTGGTGATTTGAAAGATACGGGAAAAATCGAGTGCGGTCCTCACGTAAATAATCAATTGATATGAGAGGAGTAGTTATATATAAGCTAGACTCAATTTCTCTACACCATCAATGTGCGACAACTCACATATGACAATCCAACACGCCTCCTTATTTGTGAGTCTTTCATAAGCCCAAGCTCAAAACAGACCGGGTTCAGAGTGCCCAAACCCATAACAAGCCGGGATTGGCCGGATAAAGATAGAGACCCAGACAACAGTCGGTCTGGCTCTGATACCATGTAAGAAGACCTAATTTTTCGGGTAGAGAGTGCCCAACCCCATAGCAGGTCGGGGTTGGCCGGGTAGAGATAGAGACCCAGACAGCAGTCGGTCGTGCTCTTACCATGTAAGAAGATCTAATTTTCTTATAGAATCAATGTGAGACAACACACAAATTATACTACAACAAGAGCTTTTGGTCTCGAAATTCGAAATTTTCAATGTACATCTAATCAAAAAAAGGATTCAAATTTATTAATTTTAAATTAACGTATTTTTTAGAAAACTTTATTCTCTTCTTCCCCAATAATCGTCATATGGTGTCTCAAAACACTAGAACTAGAGATGTTAAACGGTCTTTGGCCTGACGGGCCAACCCGTTTAGCCCGAAAAAAAATAAGGTTAGGGCTTTTTATTGGTAGCTCGTTTAAATCAGGGTTTTTAGGCCCAGACCGTTTAAACCGAAACCCGTTAGGGCTAGCCCGAAACCCGCTATGGCTGATCCGTTTAACTTGAGTTGGGCGTTGTAAATGTTTGCAGCAAGTAAGTAATATGCTCTTAGATTCATTGTATATTACAATTTTGCTACTTCACATGTAAGTATGAGTTGTAACGAATTATAATGATTTTAGAAGATAAGTATTAATAATATTCTTATTGTACTCCAACCAAAATATTTAAGTCAATCAGAACGACTAATAGGAAACACATCAGACAAATACCTTACTCATGAAACATAGTGATATAATTTATAATGATATAATAGTGTAAAAATTTCCAAAACGTACAAAATAAGTAGTAAAATGATAATTGTAAGTAATAATTCAAATATTTTTGTGTTTTGAAAAAAAAAATATTATTTAAGAGTTTGTAGTGTGTGTTCATATATGATGTGTAGTTGTACATATAGAACGTTAAATACTAAATAACAGTTGAAAACAACCGCTAATTAGTCGTTGTAATTTTATAATTTTTTATTTTTATTTTTTGATATTTTTTGATACATTATTATTATTATTATTATTATTATTATTATTATTATTATTATTATTATTATTATTATTATTATTATTATTACTATTATTATTATTATTATTATTGTTATTATTATTATTATTATTAAAGCCCGCATAGCCCGTTTAGCCCGAAGCCCGCTAGGGTTAGGGTTATGTCCTTTTATTGGTAGCTCGTTTAAATCCGGGCTTTTTAGGCCCGGACCGTTTAGCCGAAACCCGCTAGGGCTAGCCCGAAACCGCTAGGGCTAGCCCGTTTAACATCTCTAACTAGAACAATGACAACTAACTGTTAAATTGCTAAAAAATTAAATTATTTGTTTAATTTTATATTTAATCATATTTTAGGAAATAACATTAAAAAAATATCATGTTCTCAATATAATAAGTATCATCTAAACTTGTATAAAATGCCATCTCATTTGCTAGAATTAGTAGGAAGAAAAGTCAACTCATAATTAATTGCACACCATATTTAAAAAGTTTTTAGATTTGTTAAATCATAAAATAAGATAGCATTAAATGGCCTAAAATTATGAGTTTCAATCATTTTTAATAAAATCTGAATCCAAATTTACTGTGGTTTTGAAGTGAAAATTTGAAATTCAAAATCTATTCTCATTTTAGTTACAAGAAAATCGGGTCGCATTCAACACATGATTATTTTCAATATAAAAAAACAGATTACAAATTAGTGAATCAAATATTACCTAATTTAATATTTTAACATTACGGAATAAATCCATAGTATTAAGAATATATTATAGTTATATTATCAAATCATAAAAAGTTATTAAATTCATATTGTAAAAAAAAAAAAAGAATTCATATAATTTTATAATAATTCTACTACACTATTTAACAGTATTCTTTTTTATTATATAATAAATAATAATTAAATATTATATAGTGAACAAAAATACGTAAAACTGTTATTTTATCTTATGTCAACAGATAATTTTATATGTTAAAATCAAATTCTTTTTCGTATAAATATTTTAGTGAGTAATATATTAATTATTTTACATGCTAACCCTAGCATGTTCATATTTAATTTTATGTCTAAAAAAACATTGGTTAAAAGATGTGGAAAAAAGAACTTATAACCAACCCTATTGTTTTTTAGACTTAACGTTGATTAAAAGATGTAGAAAATAGATAATAATTCTATTATTTTTTAGACTTAAACGGACAAAGCTGTAAAAATAACTCATTTAATATCTCTGTCTCGTGCGATTACGTACTAGTTTAATAATAAAAACAAATTGATAGTCGATGCACAACAATTAAACCGTTTCATAAATTCATAACTAAAAAATATCACACCAATGCCCAAATTTAATATTGTACTTTTAGATAAATGCTAAGGTCCCTTATAGAAACATCCAATTAGTGTTTGTTACTGTTAAATAATCATGTAATCGTTAGAAATAATTGATCTAACGGTTACAAATCACGACGAAAAGATTCCGTAACGAGAACATAACATTTCATATTTTTAGCATAGATTGCACAAATTGTAGTATGTATCAACAGATTATGAAATCCTGAAAGCGCCGAACACTAAACGGTGGGCTTTATACTCGTAAAATGCGCCTTTCGGTGTTCAAAATTTTGCTTTATTAAAGATTTTAATTTTAAAGAGTGCAAGCAGAAAGAGAAATCTTCGTTTTAAATTATGTTGTGTTGGATGCTTCATTGTGAAGATTTTAAGGATGAGATTACACGAATTATGAGCTGTCTGTCTGTATCAAATTATTATATCAATTGGGCCAAACAACTGTAAATTGAGCCTCACGCCAAAATTATTATTGTCTCTCAATTATGACCATTTATTTATTTTTTTCTCCCATGAAT